AAAAAAAACCAACACCCAAACAAACAAGCAAAACAAAAACAAACATTAAAACCCCATCAAAGATGAGTTACTCCAACTTACTTTTTGTGATGCAGTTTTCCGCGGGAAGGAGCCGCTTCCGTAACAAGCCCTGTAAGACGGAGCGGATGCTGGGTCGGTGGACTAGCTGGAGGACAAACAGGTGGGACTGCGGACAAGGGAAGAAACAGGAAAATAGCAATGTTTTTACACCTGCATCAACACAAGTTAGACCACCCGGGAAGCGGTCTTCGACCCTGCTTCTCAGCTGAGAGGGATACAATATCTTGAGAAGAAAGCTTTTATTAGAGTGATAGTGTTTTCATTTTGCTTTTTTTTTTTTTTTGTTGTTGAAAAAATAGAGTTACCTATCGCATTTTGTACAGTAGTGAAAGGTGTGGGTGGCCCTTTACTGTTTATGGCCAAATCAAAGTGGCGCCTGATCCATAGAGCTTGCCCCCCCCTCCCCCCATGCTCTATAACATGAAATGCAAACCCATTTTCAACATACTCTCATTAAAAAAAACAACCTTCATGTTGTTGTTCTAACACCCACCATAAATACAATTTAGATCATTTACAAGACGAGATTCTGACCCTGTCTGTCAGGCCCAATGCGGGCTGAGAGGGACACAACATCCCACCAGAAAGAACCAGACACTGTAGAAATCCCCCTCCCGAATCGAACTTGGTTCTCCTGCATGCCACACAGCAAATGCCTAACCACCACATCAAAGAGGCCAGTAAAGGAAGAATTGTAACATAAACCTTTATAAAATATCATTTTCTTGTTTCTACTGTTTTCTGGTTAATCAGTACGCCTCTCATATTCATCAAACGAATTTATATTATAAAGAATCGAGAAAAAGACGAAAAAAAGTTCCAAAAAAAGAACAAAGTACTCACGCAGCAGCAAGCAGTGACGGTGATCTGGATGGTGTTGCGGCCCGCCTGGCACACGTCTTTGAGGTAAAGCGGTTTGTGTGTGGACTTGTTGTCCCCCCTCTCAATGTTGAGTGGTGTGGCGTTGACGCTGACCGTCACAGAGGCCGGCCAGTTGGTGCTCATCTGCCGGTCTTCGTGGTGGAAGCATTTCAGTTGAAGCTCCAGGTCCGATCTAGATAGTGATGGCGAGAGAGGGACGAAAACACCTTTTAGTATACAATATGCATGTGTGTGTGTGTGCGTGTGTGTGTGCGTGCGTTTGTGTGCGTGGGTGTGTGTGCCTGTACATTTTAGATTCCTTTTCACTATAACTTTCAGATTTAGAACTTGTATCTTCGAAATTTTAAAGCGCAGACTACTCTAAACAGTCACTGCAATGAGATTGTAACAAAAAGTCACCATGTTCAACCAATGATACATTTCCAGATGTGTACGTGGTGTTATGGTAGAAACAAATTTCTACAAATCATTATACAAGCAAAATATATAGATACATGCAAATAACTGCATTCATTCAGTCCCCTCTCATCTGTACATAGTGTTATGGAAGAAAAAAAAAATGATATAAAAATTATCGTTTCTATATGAAGTATATGTATGCAAATGTGCACGTAATTCTACATTCCTTCAGTCCCCTCTCACCTGTATAGGAGAATTATCTATACAATGTTATGGAAGCATTAACTCTTTATTTCTGGCAAGCCGCTCCCAGCGGCTCAGGCACATTCCTTTAGGAAGACTTCAACATAAAATTACTTTTCGGCAATTGCCGAAAATAAATCTCGTTTACCGGAAGTTCATTGAATAGATGAAGAACTATCAATAAAGGTTAGCTACGTTTCGATTTAATGACGATTTTGTCATTTTTACATTTAGCACCAAAAAAGGGCCCCGGCATAGTCAGTTTACCCCTCTTGGAGATAAAGAGTTAAGAAATTCTACGAATCACCATATAAATAGACACTTCCGCACTCCCACTGGCTCCCCGCCCACTCACCTGTACATGAGAGTGTTGTAGACCGTCTCCCTGAGCTGGAACACGTGGTTGCTGACGGCCAGGTTATGCTCCAGTCGGAACGGCGGTAACACAACACCGTCCCGCACGGGGAATGTTAACCTCAGCTCGTCCGGATCTGCGCGGACGAGGGAAGAAACCAAAGATTAGTTTTTATAACTTTTGTAAGAGTATTTCGACACTTGCAACACAATAAGGTCATATAAGCACCGAAGATTGGAGGTGTTACAAGGGAATAACAAACACAAAAAAAGAAAGAGGGGAGATAAAGACGATAGATGTTTTATAGGATAGAAGATGCAAACCACACCAGAGCACCCGCCAACCACCCACAACCACAGATTGATTGAAAATGTTTTTGTTTTATACTACTCCCTTTTTGTTTTAGTTCTAATAAGAGTTTCATTGCACTTGGAACACAATACGGTCATATAGGTGCCGAAGATTAGGTGTTACAAGAGAGTTACAAACACAAAAAAGGAGGAGAGATCAGGACGACAGACGTTTGATAAGAAAGAAGGGACACATCAGAAAAAAGAAAAATTTGGACAGAAAAAAAGGAAGCAAATGACAGAGAAAGTACTGAATAAACAAAGAAAAAAGTACCCGGACTCACTTGGCTTAACCATGGGTTCCTCATCAAGCAGAATGGAGAGAAAGCAAATGAAAAGGAGAAAAACAAAAGTGGCAAATAAACTAAAGCAAAAAAGGTCGCGAGACTCACTGGGCTTCACCATGGGTTTCACGTCAGGCGGGTAGGCAGGCTTCATGTCGGCCGGGTATCCCTTCATGTCCACAGGGTAGCCCGGCACTGAGCCGGGGGTGATGGGGGGTGTCGGGTTCCCGGGGATCGGGGAGTGGGGGAAACTGTTTGGCTGGGGAACCTGAAGATGATGAAAATGAAACAAATTATTGCGTCCGTTATAAACTCGTTTGGGAATACCACCTAAAGAAATGCATTTAATTAATCATTAATGTCTTTGATTTTTTCAGACATCACATCTTTAAACACTTGGGCAAAAGTTTCTTGATTACTAGCACTACGGCATAAAACTACCACTAGCTACATTTTATTTATCAACAAGCAAACCAAAGCAGAAAGACCACCTGTCAACCTCCCACAAGAAAGGAGTAACTTGCCAAAACCGTTCAGGTACAGTGCTCTTCTGTTGAGGCTTCTCTTTGACCTTTTTCCGTAAACTAAAACAAATGTTACAAGCCCACAAACATTAGCAACTTGTTCCAGACATCACAATCTCACTGAGAACGTAGTCCCTAGGTGCATATTTACCGAAGAAGGGTGTTACTTGCCCATATCGTTCATGTGTGGTGTTCTGTTCTGTTCTTGTGCAGCGTCTATTCTTCTATAGCCTTTTTCATAAACTAAAACTAATGCTACGACCCGCAAACTTCAGTAACTTACTGTTTGGCCAGGATAGGGTGTGTAGTTGGGAGCGGGTGGGCCAGGCTGCCGCTGCGGGTGGCCGTACTGGCCCTGGGCCATGTAGGGATGTTGGCCATTGGGGTAGGGGGAGGGGCCGCCAGGGCGCATGCCCCCCATGGGACCCTGAGGCATGCCGTAGGTGGGGGAGGGCAAGGGCTGCTGGCTGGGAGGGTAGCCTGGCTTGCCCGGGTACTGCTGGTGGGGGCCGGGGTACGGTCCGTGGGGGCCAGGGCCGCCTGGGACAAACTGTACGGGGAGGGAGAGAGAGGAATAAATAAAAAGGATGAGTCGAAAGTTCGTTTGATTGTTTCTTCGAGTGAAGTGAAGAACACAGAATACAGAGGCAGGGTGAGGGAGGGAGGGAGGGAGGGAGGGGGAGAGGGAGAGAAAGAGAAAAACAAAAACAGACAGAGAGAGAGAGAGAGACAATGTTAGTTTAAAGAAAAGCACACTGGCACAACAACAGTCCGTTAAAATAAGGAAAAAGCAAGACTGATAGACAGAAACAACAGAGGCAAAGTAAAAAAAAATGTGGGATCTACAAACTGACACCCTCACTTAGAATGAACAAGAAGTGACCACATTTCACCAGAACACCCATCAATCAGCCACAGCGACAAAAACAAAAAAGAATTTCCATTGGTTATCAGCATACATACGTCACCTGATCTTTACAAAGGCAAAGACATACCTATAACAAACTGACAATACTTCTACTCTATTCTACCCATGTATGGTTCATTTTCCACTTAGCAAAAGGAAACACTATTTAGTACATGCTTACGCAATTCATCTTTTTAGTGTTTGGGGGGGTATTTTTTAAAAAGCAAAATGTATGCGAAATAAACCTCGCAAATTATATCACTCAGTAATAGTGGCATATTTCCCCCACAGAACAGTTGACACTCTACTACACTACAACGCACCTCCATTTGGTTATTTGCATACATCGGCCTCTTGGCCATGTAAGGGTGGTGGTAGGGTGCAGGCCGTCTTGCATACATTGGCCCCATATTTTGCTTCATGGGTCCCGGGGCAGGACAGGGTCCGCCTCCCATGGGCATGGGCGGGCCGGGGTGGCGCTGACCCATGCCTGGGGGGTACTGACCTCCATACGGGTGCTGGCCGGGGGGCATCTGTAATAGAGAGAAAGGGAGAGAGACCGTGAGAGAGAGAGAGAGAGAGAGAGAGAGAGAGAGAGAGAGAGAGAGAGAGAGAGAAAGAGAGAGAGAGAGAGAGAGAGAGAGGAGAGGGGGGAGGGGGGAACATATGTAGTAAACGAAAAGTCTGAATAACTTTAGAGAGAACATGTTGATGTTCATCTGATGCATCCTTAAATCTCGTAACAGTTTTAAGGCACTTGCAACACATTAAGGTCATATAACTCTGCTGCAACCAACTACCTCCACCATCTCTCTTGCAACCACCAATCCCCGATCTGTCCAACAACCATCCACACGTCCCCATCATCCACCCACTCCCAACATCTGACTTCCAACAGACATGCATCCCTGGGCCGTACTGGTAGTTCATGTTCATATTGATGTTCATAATATGTCTGCAGCATTCCACCCCTCAGAATGTGATCTGTAACCACAACCCCCCTCCCCCCACACCATCTATCCTGTAACCACACTACCATCTTTCATACAACCCCCACCCACCCCCAATCTGTTCTGACTTCCCCATCATCTACTATGACTTCCATTCCAACCGACCTGCATCCCTGGGCCATACTGATTGTTCATGTTCATGTGCATATTGATGTTCATTTGCTGCTGGTGCTGGTTCTGCTGCTCCTGGATGGCCACCATGCTCGCGGTGGCCGTGGCGGTGGCTGTGGCTGTGGCTGCGGCTGCTACGTAGGCCGCTGCCGAGAGGGCCCCAGGGGGCGCTGTGTAGTCGTTGGGGCCGGCGCCGGACATGGGGGGCTGGTTGGAGCCGGGGGTGTTTGGAGTCGGAGGGTAACCACTGCAGATGGGGGAGAGGGGGGTAAAAAACAACAACACCAAAATGAAGTGCATTAGTAAGTTTTCGTTAATACAGTGAAAATTTTTTAAGACGGCCACTCCTTGTTGAGGAGAAAAGTGGCCATCTTAGGTGAAAATCTTACACAGTGTCATTTTAATGTACAAAACAACAAACCAACAACACTGGGGTGAGGTGGGTGCAGGGGAAGGGGGAAATTGAGAAGTGACCATTTGTACACGTGTTAATCTCAAATACAGGTGGTCGTTAGAGCAGGTTACACTGCAATATAAATGTAAATGAAATAGCATTTCACTTTTTATTGATCCCTGAACTAGAATCTGTTTCCCAGTGACATACATACACATACATTAATTTACCAACACTACAAACATAGAACACAAAATGAATACAATCATCTGCAAGTGTTACATAATACACTGTATCACACATAGACAACCAGCATACGCAGATGTCACAGGGCCCTGGTGCCCTCTTTCTTCATTGCTAGAGCCATGGTGGCTTTCCCTCATTAACCAGGCACCTCAAGTCTGTGTCACTCACTGACATAGGCTTGACAATACAGTGGCACTAAGCTCACAAGATCACTCTGCCACAGGACAGATACCGAAAATACATCAAAGTGAAAACCGCAACGGAAAAACAATCATCAAAATTACATTCATGTTTTGGTTTCAACCAGATCATATCTTAAGATTCAAAACACACGGTGCAGTATCTTCATCCTTTTTTTTTTACCCTCTTTCAAAGAAGGTCTTTCTCTCAGTACCAAACCCACGAATGTTTTTAAAACACTTTTTTTAAAGAGTAAACAGTGGGACCCATAGCACTGCTAAAAGGCATACATTTCAACAACTTCCAGTGTGTGACTTTGATCCGCTTTTCCTTTGCTGTCTTCAATGTTTAACTTGAATTAAAACCTGCTCATTAGTTCTAGGTTCTGTGGGTCTGTATTTGGATCTGTTTGTCTGTGTTTGCTTCTGATTAATTTTCTGTTTTTGGTTCTTATTGCCTGTATTGTTCTGTATGTCTGCTGTTGGTTCTCATTGTCTGTGTTTTGTTCGGTTTGTCTGTTTTTCCGTTCCTGATGTCTAGGGCCTTGTTCTATTTGTCTGGGGTTTTTTGTTTTGTTTTTATTGACTGTGCTTTGGCTCTTATGTCTGTGCTTTGTTCTGTGTGTCCATCTTCGTTTCTTAAAATCTAAGTCAGATTTGGGTGGGGGGCGACAGAGGGGGATGATAGAGAGAGGGGGAATAGATAGATAGATAGATAGATAGATAGATAGATAGATAGATATCGTAAGTGCGTGCGCCCACGCATGTGTGTGGGTGTGTGTTCTACTTGTCTGTGTTAGGTTCCGAGTATCTAGGGTTAGATCCCATCCCAAAGACATCCCCTCCCCCAAAACTCACTTGTAGGGTGGCATTCCCTGTGGGTTATAGCCTGGCTTGTTCATGCCTGCGTACCCCTGAGGCTGCTGCGTGTGGCCGGAGGCTCCTGTCATGGTGGTGTTGGCAAATCCGGGCGTGTTGTGGGTGAACGGGCCGCTCTGGGTGGTGTGCACGGGGAAGATGGTGGTCACCACATTCAGCTGTGTCTGCCCTTGGTTCGGTGCTCCCCATCCTGAGTTCGGGTCTCCACTGGAAGAAACACACAGAAAGAGGGAAACACATTAGATATTTTATCTACATGTACTTCGCAATGTAGAGTTATAGAAAACGGTTTATTATTTATATCAATTTATCTTTATGATACTAGATCTAGATCTATATATTTAAGTTTGTCTTGCTAAGTGTTTTATGGCTACACACACAAAAATATTCATAAGAAAGCATCAAAAACTAAATATCAAAAATCAAAAATAAAAGCAGAATCTAGGTTAAGCACTGAAGACACCAATAAC